CCCATATTGCAGATGGGGTCTGCTAGAGTCCTACCTTTCTGTAGGGACCTAGACAGTAGTAGAGTCTGGGACAGCAGGCACATGTGTAAGAATCTAGTGGCCAAGACCATCTAGACCAGGCAGAGTACTTCAACAAAGCCCTTGGCTACTGGGTCATATAAACAGCACCCTGGTTGCACAAGATGCACTGAAGCTGTTCAGCAACACTTTACATCAATACCTTCTCCTTCCTTCTCATTCCAGACATTCTTCTGCACTGTGCAAAGATATAGCTAAAAATGCCTCTTGACACCGCCCTCACTTACCCCACGTAGTCAGCACAAAGGAAGTATTCCCTTCCCAGCCTGGAGGTAAGGTGAGCTGTAAGCTTTCTTGGCCACAAGTCAGCAGGTTGGGGTCAGAAAAAACACTACCATTAGTCCTCACAAACAAAGCCAGGGGACCAAAAAATCCCCAGAAGAGCATAGCTCCCAATGCAGTCCTAGACTGCTCTGCAACATCCATTCTGCTCCTTTGCTGAGGACCATGAAGCAGCTTGCCTTAGCTAGCCTTTTTAAATTGTGGAGCCAGCTGGGACTAGAAATTTCTGCAGTGAGCAGGTGGATCTAGCCCAGCAGTTTAACACCTTCCATTGCCCTCACCTGAGCCCAGCAGTCTGCTTGCACCCTTTGAAGAAAACCATAGAGTAGGACCTGAGCTTATGCCAAGGCCGATCTGTGTTCGTACCACTAAACTGAGAGGAGCTCATGTATGCAATTTACTGTAGAGCCCCAGGAGAGTGTTCAAACCCTTTATTTTCCTCACCTGAAATTCTTCCTCCAGCTGGAACATGCAGGAGATCTGGCTGGTTTTCCCCAAGTCCCTTATTGCTGCTCTAATTGCTTGTTACATAGCATGAGTGCAAGAAGCTGAATTACAATGCTCTTCATATTGCCTTTTTAAAAGCAACACTGCTTCAAATGCTAGATACAGGATGCTGACATATATGCACAGAAGTAGTCCTCTATATGAAATGTGAAGGAACCTATGGAGCTTAGGAGGTTTTGTACACCTAAAAGGCAGTGATTCTCCTTAAAGATTCCTGGCTGTGGACTTAGAGTCCTGTTTGCAGTGTGGTTGTGTGGGGATAGCTGCAGGACTGGTCCAGGCCTGGCTGTCAGGTGTCAGGACTGCATGCTCTGTGGGACACCCACCCCCAAAATCTGACAGGTGGGCCCCTAAAATGGACTTGAAACATGGGTAAGGGAAGCCTCTGTGATGCCAGGGAAAACTCTGCCTGCCAGCACTCATTGCCTGCCTGTAATAGCAATGAGTCTCATATAAAGCCTTCTTCCCAGCCATACACCAGGCAATCACACTGAGTGAAAGCCTTATTGTCCACCTTTCCATACAGATGTTTCTGCATTTGTGCAATGGAGGTGTGAATGTCTTTACACTGTTGCAGAGGTGATGCACATGTTGTTTGTGTAAGCCTTTTTGTGCCCTGGGTTTTGTAGTGGGAGCTCTGGCATAGCCTGTTCCACCCATGTTCTTTTGTAATCTGCTTATTTCCTTGGGACTAGATCAATACACACATCCTGTCATGGTGTGTGGGTTAGAAGAATGGGATTTCTAATCTTGACCCTTAATAATGCACTTCCTTTGGTAGCCACCCATGCTTCTGCTGTCAGCAGACCCTCCAGTCCCTGGATGTCTGCATGGCACTGTGCAGCAGGCAGCACACTTGTCCCTCCAGCCAACCCTCACCAGCAGGGACTGAAGTAAATGGACTGCAATGGGATTGCCTGTGGTGGCTGCGGTTTGAGCAGCACTCACGAACCAAGTGTGCTCACTGCAGTGCCTGCCTGGTCACAGGGCAGCCACAGTGGAGAGGCACCCAGTGAAAACATTTGGACTTTGGCAGGGAGGGAAACTTCATCTCTGTAGAAGCTGAGTGTTGCTCTTGCATGAATCTCACCATCACCCTGTGACTGATAAATGCTTCATTTGACTGCATTACCTGCTGATAATTAGGTGAAAACAACAAACAGAAAGTACTTCGGAGCTATAGGCAGGCGGAAAGATCATGGATTCTGGGATCAGGCAGCTACCTTATGTAGCAGTGCAAACTTAGATGAACGTTACTTTCATCAGGTGAATGTCCAAAAAGCTACATGAACTTCCATGAATTACGCTGGCAACATCTGAGCTGATGCAGGAGGTTAGGCCAGCAGAGCAGCAACCAGCAAAAACTTGTTGGCAATTTAGTTTTTCCACCATAGTATCAAGTATGGGTCTTTGATAGGGTTTTGTAGGGGCTCCTCTGTTG